TATATATATATATATATATATATATATATATATATGTAGATGTTGGATATTTTACGAGTTTTGATTAATATGACAACTTATTGGACCATTATTGATAACGTGACGGACTTTTTTCAAAAAATTGCTTAACATAGTGGACTAAAAATGAAATTCTACTTAATTTAAAGCATGGGTAAATTCAAGAAATCACTGAAAATTACTATACAATGAAAAAGGCAAAATTTTACAATATGCCAAGTAACTCGATTGGTAGGGGTGAGCAAAACCGAGCCGAAACCGAAAACCGAACCTAAACCGAGCAATTCGGTGCGTTTTGGTTCGGTCTCGGTTTTTTTTTTATTATGTTTTTTTTTTTATTGCAGTGCGGTGTGGTTATTGTTTTCCATAATTTCGGTTTTGGGTTTTGTTCGGTTCGGTGCAGTTTTGCACTGAACTGCATCAAATTAAATAAAATGTATAGAAAAAACGAGAAAAAACTAAAAAAACCAAACTGAACCATTCATTTCGGTGCGGTTCAGTTCGATTACCTTAATGCAAAAAAATTTCAGTTCGGTTTCGGTTCGATTTTTTTCTAAGTTGCGGTGCGGTTTGGTTATATTTTTTGTTATGTTCGGTTTTCGGTTTTCTGCGATTCGGTGAGGTTTTTCACCGAACCGTACCGTCGCTCACCCCTGTCGATTGGTGTATAAAATTGGCAAAGGGTACTAATTATATGCCACCAAATCCAATTAAAACTGCAACCACAAACAGAAACTACCAACTAATTCTAGAGCTGTTGTTTGTTCATTTCTAGCTAAAGACTAAGACCTTTCGTGTGCGTGTGAGTTTGCAAATAGTATTTAGTACTACCCAATTCAGGTGCATGCTTTGAGTTCGTTCCTTTTGCACCATTTTTAGTAGTAACTATTATTGATAGTTTTATTATGATGCTGGCAGCTGGTTCATCAACTTGGAGAACTTCGTCTCTAACCAGGTGCCAAACATGCAAATCAAATGAGAAAAGGATGGCGAACAATAATATTAATGAACGCCGAAAATCGGTTCATCAGAAAACCCAGCTCCTGATGATCACCAGATAAAGTCATCCTCTGCCTCAAATGTGCAGCACAATATCATGACTTTCACTGTCAGTCAAATCGGCACGATATTCGGGGATTTACCATATGAGCCGCTAGCAATCCCTGTTAACATGCTGCACGGCGATTATCATCATCAATCTTCGTCTCAAGAACAGAGGCTCTTGAAATCAAATGTTGTTGTGAAGGAGGAGCACTGTGAAATTGGATTTCGTGATCACTTTTACTGTGGATCGACTAGCTTGAAAACCTCCACTTCTATCTCGACAACTGATAATGTTGTTCGGATAAAGCAAGAATACGGTAAAACCATTTTATTGTTTCGAGTTCGAGCTCCTTTAAATTTAGAATATTGATTTTGATATTAATTGTCATTATACTTTATAATGCAGATTGTCGACACACATTGTATGAGTCTAAGAACTTATCCATTTGGGACCCCAACAAAGTTATCAAGAAAAGAAGATCCAAGCTTCCTCAATACACTCTATCACCAATAGCCAGAATCCTCAAACAGCTTCACCATGTCGTCTATCATTCGAAGCTATCTACATTAAACCGGGTTAAGGCGGCATATGATCGTCGTGAAAAACGTGCTCCCAAGTATGATGATGTCCTGATCTACGAGAAATGCAAGCACGTGGCCGAAAACGAGATTGGCATTGGGGCCAGGCTGTTATCATCGCGACCATTTAATTCTTCTAGAAAGCCCAGATACGCTTTGGCTTATTCGACGACGACATCTTCTTCGAACGAGAGTGGCTATTCTTACTATTCAAATTGTCTGATTGATGTGCCCATAACAAGTAGCCCATCTTAAGTGATTTAGGTACATGCATGAGTAGTTTATGAGCAATCCCTGTTAACATGCTAGCTTTTGTTTTCGATACTTCCTTGGACATTGTATTATAGAAGTTGTTAGATATGACGGTCATGTTACGTGCTTTATCGGATTTGGATTGTATTGCAAAATGTGCAGATTTGAGAAAATTGCAATATATGCCAAGTAAGAGCAAAAAGATTTTCATAAGGCCTAAATTCTCTCGCGTGAGAGCCTGCAGTTTCGGTCTGCAGATTCCCAGTTCTCGGCCTTTCTGGCGCCTGATTCTCTCAATTGAGAGCTTCTCCCTCTCTCCTAGTTTAGTGTCTAGCATTCAGCGGCTCTACTAGAGAGGTGTAACAAGAAAAATGAGAAATTCCCATATGTTTTTTAACATCAGATTTAGAATGTCTTGTCACCTTCTCGTTCAAGTCACCAATAACCTGATCAGAAGGATGATCTTTCTGAATCCTTAAGGGAGGATCCCTCACCATAATCATGTGTCTATACTCGATTTTAGAACTTTGCTATATTTTTCATGCTTAAGTGTTAGGAGTTGAATTCGTGCTCATCTTGTTATAAAGGTCTCGAATTTGTTCAAAGCATGGTCATTTAGTTATGAAGGATCGATTTAATTACCTAGGATCTTATTGTTAGCATGTTTCTCTTTGTTTATTTTTATTTTCATCAAGTCAATTAGATTCCGAGTAACCAAAATTCAAATATTTCTTCCAAAGTTTGCATCTTACTCAATTGTTGTAAATTTCTAGTTTCAATTAGTCTTAATTCAATCTCAATCATCTATGTTGAGGACTTTATTTGCTCTTTTTGTGCCTTTGAACAACTAATTGGTAGACGAAGCTGCGAATAGTCTTCTTCTGAGAGAAGACTCGAGGTTCGAATAACTCGGTTATCAATTATTCCACAAAAAAAAATTAAAAAATAAGTTAAATTTCTTGTATTATTTTCAATCAATTAATATAGAAAAATAATATGACTTATTAACTCCACATTTTTAATATATACATATTATTTAATATTGCTTGATGCACATACTATACTAGTTTGTTTGGTGAGCAAACGAGGTAAAAGCATAATTATTAGCGGATTGGGCCAAAGAATAATGATGGTGAGAAGGCCCAGAAAAGTAGTTGGGCCCCGAACATGACAAACCACACCGAGTTTGAACTTAGTTTTGGAATCATATAGCTTTTATAGTTATTATTGTAATTATTTTTTAAAAAATATAAATTATAAATTTTAGATTTAGTTAGGATCAATTTTTTAATTTTTTTAATTTTACACGCTTATTCAAAGTTGTTTTCGGTTCATTTTATGTTTGCTTTGGATACCTATGCATGGTTGTCAACGACTTAGGTTTAAAAAAAATATATATATATTTTGATTAAGTTTATTATAAAAGAAAACTTAATTAACATTTTTTCATATTAACTAGTGTCATTAATTTACTATTAATTAATCTTCTACTAGTACAACACCTGTATATTACACGAGTGATTGCTAAAAAAATATTCTTGAATTTTATAATTAAAATTAATTTAATTCTTTTCTTTTTTACAAAAAAATATATTATTATATATTTTAGAATGACAATTGTTACTTGTGCGACTTACATGTGTGATTTTATTATTATTGTAAAGATACATATAATTTCTTTTCTTATACATAATGTTAAATCGAAATCCATCAAGAACTGCTTAATTAATTTGATATATTATATATGTAAAACTGATAAAAAATAAAAAAAAGTTATTAACTTTTAAAATACATTTACAATTTAATTGTTATCAAAAGAAACTAGTACAACACCCGTGTATTACACGGGTGCTTGTTAAAAAATTATTCTTAAATTTTAAAATTAATGAGAAAATTATATTAAATTTAGTTTACTTATTTACAAAAAAAATTATTATTACTATATATTTTAGAATGATATGTGTTACTTGACTTACATGTGTTATATTATATTAGTTTTTATAACTTATATCATATAACTACTTGAAATATAAATATATTAGTTGATAAATAATTTTATTTTTCTAATTAATATTAAAAATAATTTTATTATTGTTATAAAGATAAATATAAATTATTTTTTCATACATACAATATGGATGTTAAATCGAAGCTCATCAAAAGAAGATTAATTTGATATATTACATATATAAAACAGATAAAAAATGCAAAAGTTATTAACTTTTAAAATATATATACAATTCAATAGTAGTTATAATAAGGAATGATATTAAAATGCAATTAATACATATAACATGACCATAAATAATCAACATATTTATGGTAATCCGAACCTAATTATTTTTTATTTGGAATTAAATTAAAATTTACCCAAGCCTAATAACGAAACATGTAATTTTGGCACATAGGATTCCGAAGCACCAGAAGCAGCCACGTAGGCTCAACGCATTCTGAATTAATATATTAATTAAAGGGAGGGGGTAATATCAAAATGCAATTAATACATAATATGATCACAAATAATCAACATATTTATAGATAATCCGAATATATATAGGGGGATTAATTAATTTATTGAGGTGTCGTGTTAATTAAAAATATAGATTTGATTCGATTAATTTACTCTCTTTCATTTTCCTTTGCTATTTTGTTGGTTCATTTTTATTTTAGTTTCTCTTTAGTTAACATAGATTTATTCAATATCGCTCTTTTCGTTGCTTATTGTCGTTTATGTCAATTAATACAAAATTAGTAAAGTAAATCATCCGCATTGAATTAAAAATAGACATTAAAAAAGTTATAAAAGATGAATATGAAAATTCCATTCAAGAGTTTGGATACTTTTTGAGACGTACATTATATTAATCTATTAATATACTAGTGTGGATCGGCTGTGCGTGAGTCCAATCTATAATTACAACTAATATTTAAAAAAAATTTAAAATACACATACCCATCATTTATTGCATTTATAATTCTAACTTCGATAACTTGACAAATATGCATAAGGAATTAAACAGTTCAACTAAATATTTATTGTTTTTCTTTTTTTTTTTCCAAAAAAAATGTTTTTTATCGCCTAATAGTGGTTCAAAGTTTGCCACGTTTAGTCGATGATTAAATGAAAAGTCGACAAGAGTTAAATTAAGGTACTGTCGGGCACATTTCATTCCCTAATCTATTTTGGAAGGTAAATACTTTATGTCAAGTTCCTATATTGATCAGCTACTTAGAAAGATTGTTGATGTGTTCCTACACCCCATTTCATTGTAATGTATCATCAACAATAGCAAAATCAAACAATAAATCACATTAGCTATCCCACCCATGTCAAGAAAATTCATGTGATGTCGTAACCTGGTTGCTTCATATGATTACATTAAAATTTCCAACAATCACCCAAATTTTCGATCTCGTACTTTAATATCATACGCTGATATATATATATATATATATGTTCCCATAAAAACTCAAACTTAAATCATTATAGTTTTTATTTTTATTTTCATTTCAATTGCTACTATGTAGGTGTTTAATTCAACAATTGCATACCAGAAAAGAAAAGAAAAAAAAAAAGAACAAATATGTAATCACAAAACTACATACTTTTTACTAATAGCAAAAGCAACAATTGTTAGAGTAATTTCACGAAAGCAAATTATTTTTAGGGTCGGCCTAATAATTAAGTGGGTGGATAGGTTCCCCATGCTTTCAACATTATGAAATATTTTATTTTTTATTTTTGTTGTTTTTAGCATATGATATTTTAGTTTATAAGTATGTATATATGTTGAAAAATAATGCCTTTTTAACCATTAGATCGATCAAACAATATCTTACCAATGTACATTATGGGATGCTTGGGTGTTGTATAATGAATATTATTACGAAATACAATAAATAGAAAAGATGTTTGGATGAATTATAGAATAATCAGTAGTCCGGAAAGTAAAAATTTTCAAGGATTAATTCATATGCAAATGTAGTTAATTTCTTCATATTATTGTGTTCCGTCTATTACATATAATACATCAAAATAAACTTTATTTATAGATTTTTTTACATTTTTTTTTATAATTGTAATTTTAGGATATGTAAAATTTTACCAATATACTACTCACATATTTTTTTTTT